GAAACTTATTTGAAGGTGGATTGTTTTCTACAATACAACAATTGATACGTAACAAACTATTTGTACTTAAATCTAATATTAGACAAAAAAAAACAAAATGTGTGCAATTCACACGTGGTAGAAGTGAAACCTTCCAAAATTAAAATACAATTATCCTAAACTTCTTAAGTATATGTAAAATTTTCTCATTAGTAAATAATTGTAAGGTAGCGCCCTCTGTGAATTGATATTTTAATTTCACGTATAATCCTAAATTAAAATTCACTACAAGAGCTTTCATACACACGTTAGTATTAAAAAATCTCACAGATGGCGCTGTATTAAATAGTATGTATATTTCTGTCTCATTCTTTGCTGGCTTCATCCNTAAAATTTTGTCATTAGTAAATAATTGTAAGGTAGCGCCCTCTGTGAATTGATATTTTAATTTCACGTATAATCCTAAATTAAAATTCACTACAAGAGCTTTCATACACACGTTAGTATTAAAAAATCTCACAGATGGCGCTGTATTAAATAGTATGTATATTTCTGTCTCATTCTTTGCTGGCTTCATCCTACACATTTTTTTATTTGTGTCTCTTACCTGTCGTTTTTTCCGTTGCATCCGGTTTGAAATCACAACGATTCTAAAGAAGTTTTCACTTCAAAAAGTGCTCTTTGAAAGGTTAACAGAAAAATTTAAGACAACATCAATTATTATTAGATACACGATAAACATAAATGGCATTTTTACTAAGGTCCGCTGTAACTTTTTCAGAATTTCTGTAGATAAATGGTTGCTTGAAAGAGATCGCTTTTAGTGACAAGACTGCTCATTGTACAATTATACATGTTTTCTAACACTTGAGAATCCACTTACGGATACCCGGTCTAGGGGGGTACTAATAATAATAATAATAATAATAACAACAATTACGTATACCTGCCTGTTTACTATTGAATTACAATTATTTGAATGTTATTTGCTTTTTCGTGCGCAATAAAGTATATTCTCTCTCTCTCTCTCTCTCTCTCTCCTCACTCAAGATGTACTTTTCTTTGCATCAATTTCTTCCGTTTCCCTTATTTAAATACCCACAAATCACTAATACATTACCTTTCAGGGCGATAACCACGGCATAAAATATAGTTTACGTTTTGTCCCTAACTGTATAGAATTTATTACACCGTATTGTGTGAGATCGTGAATGGTTTTGTTAAGGCCAAACATGCTTGATAATGTTGACCAGAGACACGTCCAACTCAATAGAGGCACTTCCGTTTTTGTTTTAATCTGTTCGCCATTCAATTTGTTGATTTGTTTTCCCCTCAGAATTTTTAATCAACAAGCTTTTTTTTAATTGCTTAGATGGGTGGACGAGCTCACAGCCCACCTGGTGTTAAGTGGTTACTGGAGCCCATAGACATCTACGACGTAAATGCGCCGCCCACCTTGAAATATAAGTTCTAAGGTCTCAAATATAGTTACAACGGCTGCCCCACCCTTCGAACCGAAACGCATTACTGCTTCACGGCAGAAATAGGCAGGGTGGCGGTATCTACCCGCGCGGACTCACAATAGGTCCTACCACCATAAAATTAATGGGCAGATTTTATGGAGTTATTTAATTAAAAATACTTTTACGGCTTCACCCGGTAATTCCCTCGTGACGACGAAATCTATAAAGTGTTCGAAGCGTCAGAAACAATACAATGACCAGAAATTTCGGCGTGAAATCAATCACCGTAAACGTAGTTTTAGAGTTAACTTTTACGCTATCGAGAACGTTAGAACTCGCACTAAGTACACAGGTCCAATGACGTCACAATATTAGTAACATCGTTATTGAAGTCGAAAGCTGGTATTGTAAAAGTAATATCGTAACCTTTTTTTATCCTACCTAATAGTTGGTAGCCTAAGGGGCTACTCCAGCAACACACGGTCTGGTATGTCTAGATCCTGCAAGACCAGCGCTTTGCTGAATCTACCACCGGATCAGAAAAGCGACCCGTTGAGAAGAATATACGAAAAATAACGGTTATCCGAGCCACTGCGTCTAACGTCCATGAAAGTCGAAATCGCTTAAAAGCATATTTCAACAAGAATAGAGATATAATACGTAAAATGAGTAACTTTGTTGCCGGTAATGAATTGCAACAAGCATTGTGACGTCACAAAACAGACAAATCCAATGAACCGAACGGACGCAACTATTGTTGAGTCACTTACCGTGAATAGTAATAGCTGCAGAGCAAGATAATATAAAATTTCAACAACCGAATATGCCGTACAGTTGATAGGAACTTAAACATTGAACTGGTTACATTTAGAAACTCAATGAAATAATTAGCCTGTGGCGGTAACCATCACAGAATACAAGATACTTGACAGATGCCTGAATCTCACTCACGACATTTTCAACATAAACTTGCATATATACAAGTTTCGAACAACATCTGGACCGTCGGTCTACCGAGCAATGTCACCCGCTTGGTGGAAGATCTTCCTTTCGTCGTATACCCACAAGCCTAAAAAGCGATAGTGACGTCATTATTTACAAAATACATTACTAGATATACTACTACATATATCTGATTTATTCTGTAGTATTAGTAAGTTTAAATCCGTCTTACATTCTTGCCATTATCCAATAAGGATCCCAAGCCTGTCAGTGTGCTTAGCACAAGTTTTTTAACTTCTCGATGGAGTTGGAGCAGCGCCCCTAGCGGCAAAAATGGGAAGCTTTTCCAACTCCATACAAATTTGAGTTAACTTTTACGCGATCGAGAAGTTAAAAAACTCACACTAAGCAAGTACACTAAGCAATAAAAAAACTTTCTTGTAAACTCACCATCAACAATTTATCACGCGAGAAGATATAATTTTCACTCAAGTATGCTATTAAATTTTCACAAAATATAAAATTTCGTTCATAAAACACAATAACGATTTCAGAGAAAAACTTCGTGTACAATTAACAATGAAATTTATTAATAATTTAACATCGTTTAATTTGCTAACGGTACATTATCAGATGTATAGAAGAAAGCCGAATGCGTTAAACGGTAGTTAGTTAAGCACAATTATTATTATTTAATGCGGCCTGCGAATAAAGGGTACGCCCACACGCGAACCATAAAATCAAAGTTAGCTTAACATAGATATTCTGAATCTCAGTAATTACTAAAAATGTAATCCATAGACAATACCGTTGTCATTAGATTATCTACTATTGTATATATTGTCTTATTAAAGTTTCAAAATGTTGTAATATATGTATATTTCTACAATAATTTAAACAATGAATAAGTTATATGGGAATACGCAATGGATAGCTAAATGCTGGATGAAAAAAAATATTCACACGTTGACTGCCATGTAGGTACACCGATGCCCTACGCGGCGCACTGAAGTAATTATTTCGATCTTCTTACTAAGGCGCCGGAATATCTAGTAGACTTTGTAAAAGTCGAATCCGAAGATACTGAGAATGAATCTATTTCTAAGATACCTAAAAAACTAAAACATACATTAACAAACAAAAGAAGACAAAGTTTAGGCAATCCAGGCACTTAGTAACAGAAATCGACAAAATTACTTCTATGCGCCGCGTAGGGTACCCGTGACCTACACGGCAGTCAACGTGTTAACTGACACAGAAAAAGCATATACCACTTTTTTTTACATTACAAGTAGGTACTAAATTAATTAATGAAGGAATGAAGATTTGCTTTTATATAAATATAAAAGGCATATCCACAAATGTCCATCATGACCAACAAGAGCTCCGTAGTATCGGCTGCGCCATCGCAGTATCATCCCCTGTACGTATTTATTGGTGATTGTAATGGTTGATGTACTTTCGAAATTGTATTGTTTTCGTATCAGCAGCTATCTATCGAATGGATCTGGTCAAAACCTGAATTTTGCCAACTAGATTCAAGAATTCTTACATACAATTCAGTTTGGTATAACGAACTAATATTTTTTGGGGTTTGACCCTCTATAACATCAGGTTATTCTTTCATAGCGGAAGAAATTCTTGAATTCAAATATCCCCTTAGAAAAAGTACAGTCAGCTGCAGAATTGCATGAATACTTTAATAAAAGATAATTAAGACTAGATTGCAATATTTATCAAACAACCTTTTTAATCTAAGTATTATAATGCTTTTAATCAAAATAATAATATGTACAAAAATGTTTCTTAACAAATTCTTACAATAAAATAATATTTCCAGGAATTAGTAGCACCGTATTAATAACAGATGGCGTTAGTATAGCTTCATGCGATTATTCACTGTAATTATCCATGCAGATTTGCATGCTACTGTATCGTTCACTGACCAAAAATAATAATATCAAAGTTGTGGTAATAATGTCAAAAATTACGCAAATAAGCTTCTTATCGCTTAAAATGGTCATCCCAGTAAACCTATTGATTTTTTCATTATATTACCAAAATAAATATTTGATTTCAAAATTCTTAGGTTTTGTTTATTTATTTGCTGCTGAGTTAAGTAGGAAATGGTCTGTGTATTTTATTTACTAAGCTTAAAACGATGCGAAAAGCTTCTCGGTTTTAAGGACACCTGTGCTCGCAAAGAGCTTTCTGTGCTCGCGGAGAGCTTTCCGAAAAGTAATGTTGCCTGTTTTATATTACGGTGAATCGGGTTTGAACGCAAAACGTGTGTTTTTCGATAAATTTCGTGCGGTTTTTTAATTGTAGTGGTGTTTTATGAATTTTCAGGTGTTTTATGAATTCCTAATCAATCACTCACACAACAAACAATTTAAATTATTTTGATTTGTTCATTTTCAAATTGCTAAAACCTAAGCGTAGATTACAAAAATACTCGTCAGTAAAAATTAATTACTAACGATGAAATTTAATGCGGAGATATGAATTTTCCCAGAGCTATTAGTTAGTATAGTAGAGTTAATTAGTATAGTTGTTACAGTTATATTATATTTATAATATAGTATAGTAGTAGTTATAGTATATTTGTTATTGTAGGACGAGCCGACATCTTCAGGCGACAGCGGAGACGAGAGCGGAAGCGAACCCGAATCTCCGAGTGAAAAATTAATTCAACACGTCAGAAACGACTGGACCAACAATGAACATCACGACAAGGATTCGAAAAGGTTCTCTCAAATTCGCCATATTAATTACTTTAAATAGAAGCTCACAGAGTCCTTAATGAAAATATGAAAAAATACAGAACTAATATTTTCAATGTATGCAAAAGGAAAATAGCTTTTAAAGATGAAAAATATGTAATTTCAACTATAAAAAAGTTTCTAAAAAACTCTATTGTCTTTGTTTAGATATTTTTAAATCCATACATTTAAATAAAATTGGAGTGTCTGTTTGTAATATTGAAATAACTGCCTTTTACTACATGCATATGAATATATATATGGTACATACACCAAAATAACATTTTTTACAATATTTGTCTGCCTATTCATTTATGACAGATCTGAAACTTCATAAATGTACATCACCAGTCTTCATGTTGAAATTAAAATTAAATTAAATTAAATTAGCCTTTATTGCTGTTAGAGCTTAACTTATTTAACTAAACATAAAAAAAAAAATGATAACAATAGAGGTAAGAAAACTATAAAATTAACTTATACTAAAACATATCTCGGCATTCGGCTTATCTCTCCTCTTAACAGCTTGTCTTTCGACAAAGGCCTCCTCTAAGGATTTCCATTTGCTTCTGTCCTTTGCTGTACGTAACCATCCTGGCCCAGCTACTTGCTTCAAGTCGTCTTCCCATCGCTTCGGNTGCAGAGCTAAGCTTACTCGCCAATTTATGAATATGAGGTCCCCACTGCAGTTTGGAGTCCACTGTTATACCAAGAAATACGGTTGACTCAACAAGCTCCAATGATTCCTCAGAAACAATTACATTACTATCTACTTGTCTCACATTTAAAGATGATTTAATACATTTTAAAGTAAATTTAATACATTTCGTTTTCTTACTATTCAAGGGAGGATTGGCGGAGCGGCGTCGGCTAGGCACGTGTCCAGCTTATTCCAATCCACCATGGTCCTCGTAACAGTGACTGGGTTGTGAGGGCGACCGAGCTGCATAACGACAGGTCGGTGGTCTGAGTCGAGCTCTGACATTGCTTCGATGGAACGCAAGCGCAGAGTTACGTTCCTAAGCAATGCCAGGTCTATAGTNAATACGCTATTTTACCCTTCTTCCTTTCTTCAATCAACTCCGCCTGTAACACCTTCCTTTTGGCCATTACATTCTTTGGATAATCTTCGGTGACATATATCTCCTTAAGATATTTTTTATTTTTTACTATCTCATTCTTTTTCCATCCGTTTACGAAAGAACAGCAGACTGGCCTCGGTTTGTTACCTTGGATACTTCTTTTACCTAATCGGTATAAATTGTTTATTGCATTTTCTTCGATATCAATATTTATCTCGCTTTTGAAAGTTTTCTTTATCATATCCATTAATTCTAATGTTGTTTTCTCTTTTTCTTCCACGCCAAATATAATTATATTGTTATTCCTTTTTTCCCTCTTCAAGTATTCTATCTCTTTTTGTTGAGCTTCTATTTTTAACTTTAAGCTTTTGTTTTCTTCTATGATCGGGATTAGTTTTTCATCAATTCTAGACATTATGTTATTTGTAATAGATTCAGACTGTTTTTGCATTTCTAATTTCATTTTTTCAAACAAAAGTTGAAATTGTGTTTCCATTTTATAAATTTTACGTGAAACGAAACGTAATCGTAAAACGATAGAAAGTTTTTCAACACTGGCAACACTGATGTATATGTTAGATACCTACCCGCAAGTTAATAATTTTCTTGTATTTTGGAACTATCAAATTCGAACAAATATCACTTGCGAAATAGGCTAACCTTAAAACATTGTTGATATATTTTCTTCTTTGCTGTGATGTAATGTGCAAATAACGTCTTCGTTGATATCTGCAAACCTTTCGGGCCTCCTTTTTCTTGTTGCACGATATTATTTTGGAGTGTATGGTGTATGTAAGTATTTTATATTAAGTTTTTAGTGGGACTTTAATGACATTAGTGTTTACTCTTCGAAGACCGGAACCATGTTGAAATACAGATCTCCAAATAAACGCCATCACGAAAATCAACAAATATCAGCTGTAAGTCATAATCTATTAAATTTCATTTGCGTCTTATCCAGGGACTCACATGCGGAACCATTAGCATCGACCTCAACAAGCCAAGAACCAGACAGCAGCAAATCTAGCCAAATACCTATGCCGAAACTACTGCCGAAACTAGATCTGCCGGGGGGAGCGATGCTCTACCACTCCGGAGTTCTAGCTGGGCTGGACGGACTGGGCAATAATCTTGGATTAGGGAATCTGGCTATGACCTATCCGCATAGTTTCATATTAGGATTGGCTAATCAAGGACAGGAAGGAGGTAAGTTGCTACCAAACATTCTAGCAAACATGCATTCATATTTGTAAATAAGTTAGAATGTCGTACATAGGAAGATAATCTTCTTATCACCATGAGAATCACGATGAGACGCCGCCCCCCACCTTGAGACACGCCGTTGAATATTATTTATTGGTAGCTAAATGTCTGAATTTATCACTGACACTTTCAGCGCTCATAATAGAAAGTATTATTGATTCACAGCTAAAAAGTAGCGTATTAGCCTAAAATACCACCGGTGCATCGCTCAACACGAATGCACCGGACGTCTTATCCTTTAGACCACGACGATTTGGATAAAGCACGTTTTTACTGGCGGTAGGACCTCTTGTGAGTCCGCACGGGTAGGTACAACCACCTTACCTATTTCTGCTGTGAAGCAGTAATGCGTTTCGGTTTGAAGGGTGGAGCAGCCGTTGTAACTGAGACCTTAGAACTTATATCTCAAGGTAGGTAGCGGGATTTACATTGTAGATGTCTATGGGCTCCATTAACCACTTAACACCAGGTGGACTGTGAGCTCATCCACCCATCTAAGCAATAAAAAAAAGCTAATAAAAGCAGTAAAAAAATATAAGTTGTATTTTCCAGCGGCAACGTCATCGACCCAACCACAATTCATCACCATACCGCTCTCAATGGCCATGGCAGCTGCAGCCCAAGGATCCGCTTCTAATGGTTGTCCGGTCAGCGCCTCCAGTGACGACAGCAGTGAACTCCAGGATTTGAGCACCGGGAGGAAGTGACAGTTGAAGGTACTTACACTGATGACAGTTTGATAACATTTTCCCACAGACACAGCCCACTGAGTTTTTCGCCGGATCTTCGCAGTGGTTCGCGTTTCCGATCCGGTGGTAGATTCTGCGAAGCACTGCTCTTGCTGGAGTCAGTGTTAGCATCACTCCGGTTTGAGCCCCGTGAGCTCATCTACTAGTTAAGGTAACGCTGAAATAGCCTCTCAAGCCTATCAGCTTAAGTAGGAAAAAAAAAACAAATAACATTTTCATTTTCAAACAAATGTTTTTTTGTATTCGATTCTGAATTAACATTGAACCAAAATAATTGTTTATCTAATTTTTATCCGCAACAAAATGAATATACTTATCGAGAGGTGAAAAGCTATTTGGTTTAAGCGACATTTCACTTAATACGCGTCATTTATCTTTATAATTAAAGGTCCGTATTTATTTGTCATCAATGTTCGCATCAACAATTCGATGATTTTAATCGAACTTCAATTATGTTTACACCATTCAAATTTTCTCAAGAAGTTTTATTTTCAAGATATTTTTTCCAAATTTTAAACTTTAAATGGCTCTCTTGTAAAGTTAGACTTAAAACAAACAGCCTTTTACCCCTTGATTTAAAACTGAAATCATAGCTAAAATACATATCAAAAAGAAAATATGTGTAGGTTTTCACGCATCTGCAATGCTGAGGATGTCGATCTGTGAAATGATTGTATCTGTATTTTATTATTATATTGGCATCAATTTTCGCGACCAATTATAATCGAGCTGTGTGTGACGCTAGAAACATGTGCGGTTACTATAGTGTTCCCTGGCTCCACTGTCCTATAAAGCTGTAAGATTGCTCATTCAGAATACACACGCCAACTGGTAACTCAAAAAATAAACATATTTTTAACCGAAAACAGTCCTCAAGTCCAAAAGAAAATCAAAATTCCAAAGCGACATATGCTGTTGCTGCTACAGTAGATTTTGTGAGGAGTAAGTTGTGCGTACGTAATTAAAACAATACGTTTTCGTCGATTTCACCTGATTAATATGAAAATTTGAACACGCATCGAGGACCGATGATAATATAACAATATCATAACTTCGCTGTAATCACCTGACCAGTATCAACAGGAAAAAGATAATGAAAATGATTATTAGTCCGGTTTACTGTTTAAGCGTGCTTTTTTTGGATTCTCAACGAAAACATATATTATTTTTATTATTATTATTATTTATTGGTTAGATGGGTGTACCAGCTCACAGCCCACCTGGTGTTAAGTGGTTACTGGAACCCATAGACATCTACAACGTAAATGCGCCACCCACCTTGAGATATAAGTTCTAAGGTCTCAGTATAGTTACAACGGCTGCCCCACCCTTCAAACCGAAACGCATTACTGCTTCACGGCAGAAATAGGCGGGGCGGTGGTACCTACCTGTGCGGACTCACAAGAGGTCCTACCATCAGTTAATTTTATTACTATTATTAGTATTATTACTTTCTATCAGGCACTAATTTACTGGTCTTCGTTAATGAAGCAGTTATGTGGTCCGCTACTACGGCAATGAATTGACTACAACACTAACCACGTCATTTCTATTTGTTTCAGAATAACTGAGAAGAAAAAAACCTGTTTTACGAATATATTTTTTTTGTTGCAATAATTTGATGTACCAAAAACGTTTGGGTTTTTTAACTGTTTCGAATCATTATTTTTTTTTAATAAATAATAGTTAATTTAGTTTCATTTCATTTATTTAGGAGGTGGTTATATTGTAAGCGTTTATTGACTACGAATTTATTTAAACAAAACTGAAAAGCGTGAATCGTTTAAGTATTAATTTATTGAATCAAATGATGTTTATGAAAAATAAATAAATATCTTGTTTTATCGCTCACTAACTCTTTTTTTCTCGGTAATGCTAGTAAAAAAGAACCAAAAAAAATCGATGAGTGTTAAGTTAATCTTGTTTATGATTTACATAATCTATTGCTTGTATGAAGATTAATACTTTTTTTTTTCAAAATTAATCAGTTTTGTTGCCAATTGTACAATACTTGCCAATTAATAAACAAATAAAAATAATAATTATTTAGGTAAAGCTACTTATAAATAGAAAATCTGCGTTAGCTCACCGCCGGTTGGCAGAGTTCACAGAAGGCTGGCAGCATTTCCACGCTGGATAGCAATGCTAATTCTTTGTGCAAAATACGTACCAGCCTTCTGGTCTCCCGAGGCATTGATGACAGGCATGATACATTATTTGTATAGTGGTAAAATACACTTGACGTGAACTGTTATAAGAGTGTTATGGTTTCCTAAGGAAACTTTTGCAACTTCACGTATACAGAAATTTTAATTTGGACATTTTAATTAATCGAAATATTAGATACTAGTGAAATTTCGTAGTTTAAATAAAATATATGCGTATTTTTGTACTGGACATAACCCCGGTAGTATTATCGCAAGCGACTTATTGAGCAGATTTAGAAAATTCATCTATTAAATAATATCCAACTTCGGTAGAGTACGCTCTACTTTTCGCATTGCTTGGAATTTATCATTTTCCTTATTTTCCAACGCGAAACTAGCAAATGTAATTAATTCTTGCTATAGTAAAGTCGCTTGTGAAAACACTGCTCTTTGTATGTGTAATCTTTATCGCTTGAGAGATAAATCTCCATTTTGATCCATCATTAATTGTAATTATATGTACGACCGAAAAAAAAAAAACAATTGATGCCACGAGAAACTACACGAATGACCTCTTAGATTTTTGTGAATTTATTAGACTACGGCAGAAATCTGCCGTGAACCTGTAACGTATTTCGGTTTGAAGGTTTTTTTTTTGCTATTAAAAATGCTATTTATAAAAAAGTAGCTGTTCTAAAAGTTTTCTAGATGTTTCGATTTACTCGAATTCTTGCGGAAATTTTAACCTTTATTTGCTGGGGTTAAAGTTCAGTTTCTTGTGTCATCAATTTAGTTTGCAACTTTAAATTATTTTGAACTGTATTCAAAGATGTTTTTTTTTTTTTGTAGCTGATTTTGTAAAAGAGCAGTGGTATTGCGTTGGTATTGACCAAATTAATTTTTGCACTTTTTTTTAAGTGAGTAAACATCGGACTAGAAAATCCCGTATTTGTTTAAATTTGTTAAATAGCCCTTATAACAAATTGGTGCAAAAATTTAAAAATGCTCCAATATAATGCAATCATGCGGAAGTCAAAAAACGAATTCATTCAAAATGTTGATTCAGTGAAAAAACTACTTAATTGCTATATAAATTAGGTGTTGTCTCTAAAATTCATATCCATCTGAGATCCTCCGAGTTAAATACATAGATTTACTTCAGTTAACCCGCTCCGCTTATCACGCCGGCAATACCACTGCGACCTTATAACCTTTACCTTACACGAAAGCATTTATTACTTTACGTTTGTAATTATTTTCGTTTTATTTTCATTTAGTATTTTTTATCGAAAGTTCATTGAACTGTGTACTGCGTTTCGTTTATCCTTTAATAATGTTCCTTTTCCTTAATTTTTATAGTAAAATAAATTGAAAAATATGAACACTTGTGTTTTTTTTTTTGTGTTTCTCCTTTATTATCACAGATCGAAGTCGTCGTGGCCTAAAGGATAAGACGTCCGGTGCATTAGTATCTAGCGATGCACCGGTGTTCGAATCCCGCAGGCGGGTACCAATTTTTCTAATGAAATACGTACTAAATATTCACGATTGACTTCCACGGTGAAGGAATAACATCGTGTAATAAAAATCAAACCCGCAAAATTATAATTTGCGTAATTACTGGTGGTAGGACCTCTTGTGATTCCGCACGGGTAGGTACCACCACCCTGTCTATTTCTACCGTGAACCAGTAATGCGTTTCGGTTTTAAGGGTGGGGAAGCCGTTCTAACTATACTGAGAACTTAGAACTTATATCTCAAGGTGGGTGGCGCATTTACGTTTTAGATGTCTATGGGCTCCAGTAACCACTTAACACCAGGTGGGCTGTGAGCTCGTCCAACCATCCAAGCAATAAAAAAAAAAAGATCGTCTTTGCCTATGAACTTATTTAATTTTCATCTCGCTATATTATATTCTATATATTTTATTGCCCTTGTAGGCAGACGAGCATACGGCCACCTGATGGTGAGTGGTTGTATATAATGTTTCTATTATTGACGATGCATAATTTGCTCGACACCAAATCAGATCAACCTGACTTTGGCTGTTTTTATATTTTAATAAAGTTTCTCATAGGATTCACGTGGTTTCGTAAAGACTCTAATAAACAATAGGACCTGGTGATTTGTAAACTCGTTCAACCACGTAGACCTAAATATATACTTTCCATTTAAACATATCGACACTATCGAAGAAGTCAAAAGAAAACAGATCAAATTTTAAATTGTAATTGCTTTCAAAGTTTTTATTTTTCACCATTCATTTTATGACTTTCCGTACGATAATAATTAAATTTGTTTTTCAAATAATATTTTTTTATTGCCGTATAGGCAGACGGCCCACCTGATGGTGAGTGGTTACCGTCGCTCATGGACGTCAGCAATGCCAGGAGCAGAGCCAAGCCGCTGGCTACCGCTTAATACTCTCCACAAGCCTCGTTTGAAGAAGGTCATGTCATAGCGCTCGGGAGACACCGTGGAGGGAGCTCATTTCAAAGCTGGATGGTACATGGCAAAAAAGACCTCTGGAAACGCATTGTGGATGACCGCAGTGGCTCCAGGTAGTATGGATTAACTCTACTTCGGTGTAGGGCGGTGCGATGGTTTACCATTAAAAACGGGATGATACCAAACAATTCATGGCACTCCTCATGGAACATACGGTACAATATTCTTTCAGCTCATTCTAGAACTGAACATGCGTACCTTATCTATATAAGAATGCAGAGGTATTCAAAATCTCCTTTTGACCAAAACAGGTATATGAAAAAATTGTGGTTGAATTAGTTTTTAACAAAACAATATTCAACCCAGTATTCTTAATTAAATGCTCTGGCTTATGATACACTAATTAATATTACAAGATCTAAAAATAGGATATTTAAATTCACCTCTTTATTTTTTGTGTAGTAATAATAGTCGAGAACGCATACCGTCAGTAAAAAGTTAAAGATTCCCGCGATTACGAAGCCCCACAAAAACTTGCTCATTGTATTTATTGTGAAAAGCTCACGGCGAAGTATCGGTTACAAGTAATATTAACTTGCCTTACAGGGAATCGCCTTCACGGTTCGCTTTTATTCTGTAGTAAACAGAAATTGTAGAATAGAAATGTTTATTTGTTGGAAAATTATGTTCATGTTTGCATGAATAAAAATATCAAGCATTTTTTTTTGAATCGCCGGACAGTCAGTGAGGGTGTAACTAGTGGAGCTCTTCAGTCTACCCGTAATCGTGGCGTTTGCAGCGAAATATCCGGGACCCAGCCCTAAACACGTCATTACGGATCCTCCCGATCCATTAACGGTGCTTTTAGGTACCTCAAGCACCGGTCACCGTCCTCGCCGAACCCGTCGCTTGCGACAAAGGGCTCGACGAGTAAATTAACCTACAGACACAGCCCACTGAGTCTCTTGCCGGATCTTCTCAGTGGGCCGCGTTTCCGATCCCGTGGTAGATTCTGCGAAGCACTGCTCTTGTTAGGGCCAGTGTCAGCAACACCTCCAGTTTGATCCCCGTGAGCTCATCTACACGCTAGGGTAACGCTGATATAGCCTCTCAAGGCTATCAGCATAGGTAGGAAAAAAAGGGGACCCATTAACTGTGAAAATCGCGGTATGAATCTGTTAAATCACAGCATGTGTACATTGTTTCCTGAATCAACGGTACCCTATGTCATTTTCTGTATCCTTCACAGCGCGTATTCAAAATATAAACAAAACAAGTGAATTACCATAAAAATGTTCATACGTACGGATAAGATGTGACAGCATACCTGATTGAGTCCATCTTCAGACGCAGGTCCGAACGTGGTACATTGACTTATGTCAATGTACCACGTTCGGACTTATGTTAACTTATGTAGAACTTATGTTCTGTCCACCTTTTTTTACGAGAACTCATGATTCGTTCATACTCATAACATTGGTCCATATTATTTGAGTATATTTCCTAGTATCCGATATTTCGGAGCATAGATACGTGCCGTCGTCGTGGCCGAAAGGATAAATAAGAAGGACGTCCTGTGCATTCGTGTTGAGCGACGCAACGTTCGAATCCCGCAGGTGGGTAGCAATTTTTCCATTGAAATACGTACTCAAAAAATGTTCACGACCGTCTTCCACGGTGAAGGAATAACATTGCGTAATAAAAATGAAACCCGCAAAATTATAATTTGCGTAATTACTGGTGGTAGGATCTCTTGTGAGTCCGCACGGGTACCTAAGTACCAACACCCTGCCTTTTTCTGCCGTGAAACAATAATGCGTTTCGGTTTGAAGGGTGGGGCAGCCGTTATAACTATACTTGAGATCTTAGACCTCTCAAGGTGGGTGGCGCATTTACGTTGTAGATGTCCATGGGCTCCAGTAACCGCTTAACAATAGGTGGGCTGTAAGCTCGTCCACCCATCTAAGCATTAAAAAAACTGTCCTCCGTGCTCATATCACTGAAGTTGGATTAAACGTTAAGTATCTCCAATTTCTTCATCTTAATTTAACGCTAATCGTATATTAAGACAAAGAAAAGGACGTAATTTTACGTGCAAACATCAGCGTGGGATCTGCAGCTGTGTTTAGGCTTAGCCTCTGTTTTATTTAACCAGATTACCAGCTACTTTTTCTTCCATTTCGATACGAATAAGTTCCGACACTAGTCTGTCCGGTAAGATGAAAAATTACGCGAATTGCTGCTGATATACCTTCTGGAGTCATCCGCAGTTTCATCTTGAGAATAACCCTTACAAATTCGTCCTGCACTCACCCTCAATCCATAGTGGGACCTATTATGAGTTCTCACGATTAAGCATACCGTCCTGCCATATCCATGATACGACAGTGGACGGGCCATCGCCATTTGTCCAATTGAAACTGTAA